GAGAAAAGCGAATACAAGATGGAGATCGATGACCTCAGCAGCAACATGGAGGCTATCGCTAAAGCCAAGGTCAGGGTGCTGCATTTTTTATCACGTGAAAATGAAGTGTAATCTTTTTTTTTTTACTAATAGATGCTTTCTGTCATCAGGGAAACCTTGAAAAGATGTGCAGGACATTAGAAGATCAGCTGAGTGAGCTGAAATCCAAGAATGAGGAGAACGTTCGTCAGCTGAATGACATTAGTGCACACAAAGCACGACTTCAAACTGAAAATGGTATGAACCTCATTTAGAGCTTCTTTACATTATGGTGAAAACACAAGGTTGTTATCCACGAGGTGAAATCCGCATCACTTCATCATTTCACCCAGTGCTCATGGAACAGATTATATGTGGCAAAAAGCAGCCAAGATCTCTACAAGTACTCTTTAGTATGTGGCCTGATTTGTGTAAAGCTTAAAACACATCTTTTTTTATTGTAGTCTTAAGGTCACAACAAAAAGGCACACAAGCTCAAGGTTTATGCCTCTATCCTGGAGATAACTACAGCAAATTACAGTTTTACTAATTTCTTGTATCATTGTACATTATGCTAATTACTATCTGTGATTAGGTGAATATACACGTCAGCTGGAGGAGAAGGAAGCTCTTGTTTCTCAGCTGACCAGAGGCAAACAGGCTTACACTCAGCAGATTGAAGAGCTGAAGAGGCACATAGAGGAGGAAGTTAAGGTGAGAGTCTATTAAAACAGCAGAATAATCACAGTGAGAAAAAAGCTACGTGATAGTTGAGATCTAATGTTTGTCTGGTTCTTATCTGGCTCACAGGCCAAGAACGCCCTGGCTCATGCTGTCCAGTCTTCCCGTCACGACTGCGACCTGCTCAGAGAGCAGTATGAGGAGGAGCAGGAGGCCAAAGCTGAGCTGCAGCGTTCAATGTCCAAGGCTAACAGCGAGGTGGCTCAGTGGAGAAGCAAATATGAGACTGATGCTATTCAGCGCACTGAGGAGCTGGAGGAGGCAAAGTAAGCTTCAGTTTTAGCTTTGCCAAATTGTACTGAGTGTAAGTTGTTATATTCTGTAAGTTTGAAAATCGAACATCTTTAATAGGAAAAAGCTTGCCCAGCGTCTTCAGGATGCAGAGGAGTCCATCGAGGCCGTGAATGCAAAATGTGCCTCTCTGGAAAAGACTAAGCAGAGACTGCAGGGTGAGGTGGAGGACCTGATGATCGATGTGGAGAGAGCTAATGCTCTGGCTGCTAACCTGGACAAGAAGCAAAGGAACTTTGACAAGGTACAGT